CGGCGGTCTTTCCAAGTCCTCCGACGCCGCGACCAAGGGCCCCAGCTACCGTAACATGATCTCAGTTAACGGCCGTAACGGAGTGCCTCTGGTGGGACAGGACTTCAAGGACGCTCAGAGCCGTCCACAGGGCCTGGGTGGTTTATTCGGTTGGCGTGGATCCAACGGCGGGGAGGCTCCAGGGGGCCCGACGCCGGGCATGGTACAGCTGCCGGGTGTGGTTCCGCTGCCCGGCGCGCGTTCGGGTGCCGGCGTCGGCGGCGGCAGCAGTAGTACGGCACCAACGGCGGTATCGCGGTTCGGGACGCGGGACGCGGGTTCGCAACCGGGAGCATCTGGTGGCGCCGCCGGAATGATTGCTGGCAAGATGAAGTCACTGGGGACGGCGGGCATAGCCGCGTCGATCCTCACGCGCAAGGCCAACCAGGTGGGCGACTGGGTGGCAAACTGTAAAGCTCTGCTGCTGCTGTTTTCCCATGTAAAACATAACAGCGGCCGGCGAATTACGGGGTGGGGCGTTTCCGCACCTCTTGCGGCGCTCCTCTGCGTGTGGCGAGCTACCACTACGTCCTGTGACACCCGGCTGATGACTGACTGCTAAAATACACATCGAAACACATTTTTTCGGACAGAGTCCTAGACTGCTGGCTCTTGGAGGCCCCCCCCTCGACCCCTCATCCGGGCTCCGAGTGTGTATAGGCTCTTCCCCCAGGTTACACCTCGGGTTGGAGGGTGGTAACGCAACGCCGGAAGGTGGCGTAATACACACATGCGCACATTCGTCCTGAGACTCTCCATGTCCCCCCTCGGTCAGATGCCATGGAGCTGTTTTAGTTTTAGCTGTTTTGCCCAATCTATGTATCATACGATATCAACATACGTCCATGTCTGTATGTATCCAAACAGCGTCTGCAAGCCTATGCATCCCGCATGCCCCCATGTCGGCATGTTTAGGTGCAGCCGGAGCCCGTGGCTGAGGCCGTGGAGGAACGTCAAAGCGGCTCACAACTGACCGCCGCCGCCGCCGCCGCCGCCTCAGCCTCGTCAAGGTTTGCATCCGGCGCGGCGCAGGGCCCGGGTATCCTTCCAGGCTGTGGATCTGGATTCCGGCCCAGAACCGCAAGATCCAGGGCCTTACTCCAGCGGCCGGAGGGCCCTACAACCTGGAGTGCTGTGCGGCACCCCGCCTGGCAGCCCGAGGCGCTTCTGGGGCCGGGCCATGCCGACTATGACCCCGCCATGGATCCCATGTCGCCCGGCAATGTGCAGCGTGAGGGTGCCGGGCGAGGCGGTGGCTCTATGGCGGCAGTGGTGCGGCGGTTTTGGTCGCGGCGGCAGGGGACCGCGCTAGGGGAGGATGCCGCGGCCGGGGGAGAAGCTGGTGGTTTGGTTTCGGGGCCGGCTCTGGCGTCACTGCGCGTCCATGGTTGGCGGCCGGAGAGCGAAATTGAAGCTGCCTTGGATAAGCCCGGCATGCAGCTGCAGGAAGAGGAGGAGGAGGAGGGGGAGGAGGAGGAGGGGCCCCAGCGACAGCGCCAGCAGGCCGTGCCGGAGTTTTGTGTAGGCGGAATGGCCTCCTCATCGTCCCGTGTTGTGTACCGCGGCGCAGTTGGAGAAGGGGTGACTCTGGTGGGACCTGGGGGGAAGCCGCTGCCAGAGGAGGCGACGGGGGAGGATTACGGCTCCAGGGGGGGGCAAGCAGCTGAAAGGAGGTAAGCGACGTACGCGCGTGTGCGTGTATGTCTGTATGTACCTCTGTGTGTTCTCCATGCCAACGGGGGAGCCATGCGCGCGAGAGGGAGAGGGAGAGGGAGAGGGAGAGGGAGAGGGAGAGGGAGAGGGAGAGGGAGAGGGAGAGGGAGAGGGAGAGGGAATCACTTTAAGGGTTTGCTACGGAGAGGTCATGTGATTATGGCGGCACAGCAGTTGAGGGTCCCCGCTGCGGCTGCTACTGTGGCTACTACTGCTGCTGCTGCTGCTGCTGCTGCGGATGGTAGCCGGCTCATTACTGCGCCGGTGACCTGCAAACCCGTAGCGGGCCGTCTAAATAGTTCCTTACTAACCACCTAGGAGTTGCAGCTCCTTACTGGATCGTCTCTTCCCTTCCCTTCCCTTCCCTTCCCTTCCCTTCCCTGTCATCACCCTCGGGTCCCGCTAACCGCCTCCTCCAACTGCTTCCCCCCCCCATGCCCTCGTACATCCCAACCTCACGCTACCCAGGTCCGCGCCCGTCGTGCTCCTGTCCGAGGTTCCTATCATCAGAGTGGATAGCGAGGGCAGCGACGACGTGCCTTCGCGGCAGGAGTCCCTGGACCGACCCACGGGTGCTCCGCCTTCGAGTCTCAGCAAAGACGCCCGCAAGTCCCCTGGTGCTGGAGCGGGCGGAGAGCTGCCCCGGCGCAGGTCCATTGAGTTTAAGGAGGTGGACGCGGACACGTACCATGAGGAGGCGTCGCGGGGCGGCAGGGCGGCGGCTGGTGGGGTCAAGTTCACGGCACGGAGGGGTACGTTTGGGCAGTGGAGTGAGGGTTGTTTGAGGAGGGGACGGAGGAGGGGAGGGGAACGGGATGTACGAGCAAGGGATGGGCGGCTGGATTATCGCTCCTAGGAAAAGGGGGAGAGGGGGTTGCGGTCCAACACCTCCTATGTGGATAGCTGGATGGAGGGGGAGGGAGAAAGAGGAGGGGGCTGGTGCCTAGCTGGTCGCCCCACTCCTTAGTAACGGACGCCGGATGGCGGTTGGTCGAACGCCGGCCACCTGCCAAACGCCAACCGTTCGTTCATCTCCGCCTTGAATGAGTTCCGACCTGTTGTCGCCGTTGCGTGTTGCAGTTTCTCTGATGGACCTGGGCGACGATAACGGCAGCCCCGGGGGCTCCAAGACGGGGAAGAACAAGGCCGCCAAGGCGTCACCCTCGTAAGTGCTGTAGGGAAGCTTCGTAAATGTGCACATTTGCGGACGCGTGTGCGTGTGCGTGTGCGTGTCCGTTGCGTGTGCGTGTGTGTTAATAGCCTGCGTCGATGGGGGGAATACCAATGGTGGTGATGCTGCCGTGAGGTGATACTCGGGGGTGCCGCGGCGGGCAATAAGACAAAAGGGGCGGGGGGCCGTGTGGTGGCATATACCTGTGAATGGGCGGGTGGGGTAGTTGGCTGGGTAGGGGTGGTGGGGCAGTTAGGTTACAACTTACAACTTACATGTGCCGCACGAGTGCGGGGGGGGGGTTCCGTCACAGCCTGAGGGGGGCCATGGACTATATAACATTGAAAGTTAGGTGTGCGGGCGGGGGAGAGGTGGGCCGGGTGGAGAACGGCGAGATGAGATGAAGAGCTGGGGCAGGTGAGCTATTGGGTCTGGTGGGGGGCTCCCATCAGCACCGTCGGGGCTGTGCCCATATGAGCTTCGCCTCTACTTTACCGTAGTGCTACCGGTCCTTTACCAGGAGGGGGGAGAAAGGGGGAGAGGAGGAAAAGGAGAAGGAGGAGGGGTGGTGGGGGGGTAATTATGGGAGGAGGCCAGGAGTATAGCGGGCGCGTTGCAGGTCTCGGGCATCTGTCCGGATGCGCTGCGACGGGAGACCCGTGTGGGGCCCCGCGGGAAGAGCCAGCGGGCGGTGGGGTGTGCACCACGCAGCGCTCGCCGCGAAAGCCGATGATACAGCGGGTAGCCCTAATCCGCTGGCCACCTCAAGTGCGTGTGTGTCTGTCTGTCCGTGTCTCTATGTGTCTGGCTCCCTGTCCCTGTTTGTATGCCTGCATGTGCACATATACTTCTCCACTCATCCAAAAGAAGAGAGAGAGAGAGATAGGGACTGTGTAAATCCCGAGTAACTCTAGGGCTCGCCCCCACACTCTCCCCCGCATTCGCCCCCTACCCGCTTTCGCACTCCTTCAGGCCGCAATCAAAGCGACGTGGCGTCGGTGGTTTCTTCTCGTCGCTATTCCGCTCC